GAGAGGGCTATATTTCTTAGTGCAAACATCTGCCTGTCACTTGGCATTTGAAAGTGCAGTTGGAGGCTGCTGGTAGGTGCCTGTGTCACGGTAATGACTGTGACAGGCTTTTTCCATCCCTGAGCAGGAGATGGTTCTGACATTTGGTTTGAGAGCAGCTTTGAAGCCAGTGAGTTCCTCTGCTTGAGAAGAATTTCTTCCTAATATCTATTCTGAAACTAGCACTTTGGAGCCAATCCCCCCTTTTCCTATCACTACTTGCCCTTGTAAAAAGTCCCTCTCCATCTTTCTGGTAGCCCCTTTGCTTGCAGGATGAGGGTGTGCACTGCCTGCCAACAGCTCACCGGAAAACACCCCTTGTAGCATCACTGCCTCTTTGGGAAGTTCACTACCACCCTGCTCTCTGCACCCATTTGCCACCAGCTTCTTCCCCAAAAAACACACACCAGAGCACATGGCTCCTGCAGGCAGCATGTGTGTGTCTGGGTGTGGAGGAGCCAATCTGGTTACAGGCCTGCTGGGTGAGCAGTGAAGCACAAGCCCAATAAGCCAAGCAGCACCACCCTTCCCAAGCAAAGCACAGGGAAATGCAGAGGCAGCACAGTCCACACTGGCCACGCCAGCCACAGCAACCCCCTCTGGCAGGCTCCCTGTCCTTGCTGTCTGTGAGATATATTGCTATTCCTGGCAAGGGAACTTGTGGCACCAGAAACACTTGGCCAAAGATGCGCAGCAATTGGAAGCTCTAGACAGAGAAGGATGCTTCTGCTCTCAGCCCCAAATGTCATTCTCTAGGAACTGGGCCTCTGAGACTCTGCTGCAGGAAGCCTAGGGCAAAGAATCTTCTTTCCCATCCTGGGGTGATCAGGTGCAGGGCTTAAACCAGCAAAGCAATCAGCAGCTTGCATCTGTGCACTTGGTTCCCTGATCCTCTTTTCTCTCCATTTGCCATGTTTATACACCCCCTTCATCTTCCTCAACTCTTCCCTTTCTCTTCCCTTGTCTCCTCCCAAACAGGGGACCCACCCCTGCTATTTTTCCGCCCTGGCTCCAAGGTTTGCCCCACCTGTGAACAGACTTGGTGTTGCAGGCGCTGTTAGCCAGCTCACCTTGGCCTTCCAAGGCACTACTGATGCAGTTTCCTGGGTCCCCATGGTCCTGTCAGGTTCTTCTCCACAAAATGACCGCAACTCTTCCTTTGAGCATCTGTGAAGTGTGGCCACCTCACACATCAACCCCACTTCACTACCTGTGAAATCTGGCTCTTCCTTAGGGCACTGTAGCCCCTGCCAGCTTCTCCCTCTCTTTGTGACAGTCACCAATTTTGCTTGTCGTGCTCAGGAGTATCCCAGGTCTGTTCCACTAGTTAAGGCTTAGGGCCTGATTGTGTGCCTTAATGTATCCCCCATTAGGTGTCTGCATGTGGCATTATTTTTTCCTGTCCTCTTCCTAGAGGAAGATGTGCCAATCTTCTCCCTCCTGTGGTGGCTCTGAGCACCCTTCTCTCTGACCAGGTACAGTACCAGCCCTTTGAAGTGACTCTTTCCCTTTGTGCCCAAGTAGTCTGCCTGGAGTCTCACTTCCAAGGTCCGGGGCTTGCCCAGGAGGCAGAACTCATCTGAAAATATCATTAACTGTGAAAAAAGGTAATTTTATTTCAGCAAATAAGTCAACATTGGCATTTGTGTACATGCAGAGGAGCAGTGTGAGCAGGACAGAGCAGGCCTTTGGCACTGAGGCTACTTTTGGATTAGCAGGCATTGCCCCGGCAGGAAACGGTCATGGTTCCATGCAGCCTGAACTGGATCCTGTTCGTCCTGCTGCTCAAACTGTTTTTCCCTGTAGGGCCTGCAGGAGCTTCTCCATCCGAGTGAAGAATTCCACCAGCTTCTTGACTGGAAATGGGCAGGACTTGTCTACTGGTGTTGGTGGTGGCTTTGGCTTCGGAGCAGTGGTTGGTGGTGGCTTTGGAAGCTGAGTGGTGGTTGGTCTTGTCCATGGCGGCTGTGTAGCAGGTGGTCTTGTCCATGGCGGCTGTGTAGCAGGTGGTCTTGTCCATGGCGGTTGTGTGGCAGGTGGTCTTGTCCATGGCAGCTGTGTAGCAGGTGGTCTTGTCCATGGCGGTTGTGTGGCAGGTGGCCTTGTCCACGGCGGCTGTGTGGCGGGTGGTCTTGGCCATGGATTCTGAGTGGGTCGTGCAACGGTCGGAAACTGACCCCAGGGTTGTGCGGTGGTTGGATAATAACCCCATGTCCGTGCTGTCGTAGGAGCGCTTACATCTGGGAGCAGGCCTATCTGGGCCAGGATCCAGTTGTAAAAGTGCTGAGTGGAGGTATAGATTCCAGGCCGTTTTGCTCTTGCACAGCCTTTTCCCCAGCTGGTCACTCCAACAACCCAGAAGTTGTCAGCGTCATTGTCTTTGCACATGAGAGGACCACCGCTGTCACCCTGCAGCGGAGTAGAGAGGATTAAGGGGGTGATGGGTGGCCCCTGTTAGCAGCAGGGCTGTCTCCTCTCTCAGAGCCCCTGTCTGAGCTGTATTCCCAGCACAGAAGGGCTCTGAACAGTTGCTGGAGTCTCCAGAAGCTTGGCTGTGAGTGGGTTGAGGGCCTGTGAGGTTGGGCTCTCTCTCACCTCTGCAAAGTGATCCTGGAGGTGCAGAGGATGGATGTTCCAGGGTCACCATCTGGACCTCTGGGCTGCCAAGAGCACTAGCTGGGCTTTCTGGGCACAGTGCCAGACCTCTGGGACAAGGAGGACACTGGGCAAGGCCCCACAGATGGGGAAAGAGAGGGAAGCTACAGCAGCAGTGGGGAACCAGGGCTGGGAGGCTGACTGACTGGCCAGGCAAAGCCCACACTGGGCTGTGTTTGGGCAGTGGTGACAGGGCTGCCTGTGCTGCTGGGGGCTGAGTGGTTCATCACACGCTCCTACCTGGCAGGTGTCGATGCCTCCCTCTGGATGACCAGCACACAAGTTGTGGGTGTGGACATCCCCTGCGTACCAATCGCTGCTGTTACAGAGCTGGACATCGATGAGGTGGACCTGGGCCTCCTGCAGGACATCGCTCGATTTTTGAGCTGTGAGCACAGAAAGCAATGAACATCCAGCAGCCTTCTGCCAGTTCTCCTCCTCTGCCTGTAGGTGATCCCCCTCCCTAGGGCCTGGCTTTGCCTCTGGAGAGGCATTGGAGCACTGTGACCCTTCTGTCTGCTCTTAGGGATTGGGCAGCCTGATTCTGGCTTTGGCCTCTGCTGTTAGGAGGCCCAACCCATCTCTCTAGTGTGTTGAGCTTGCCCTGCCTTTTTAGGGACCCACCTCTTGCAGTGGTGGCACCCCAACCAGCGACGTAGCAGATGTCCAGCTCTGACACATCAACCGTGCCATTGGGCACACAGCCCAGCTGGATGTGGAGGTTGCACTCGGCAGGCCGGTCCAGTTCCAGCAGCGCGATGTCGTTGCTCTGGTCGGCAGCGCTGTAGTCCTCATGAACCAGCAGCCGCGCCACCTCGCGCACTTCAGCCCCAGCGCCCAGCTCGGTCAGCTGGGTGGCCCCGATCACCACACGCAAAGTGCTGATGTTTCTGGAAGGCAGATGGAAGGCGGGTGAGAGGGAGCAGAGCCTTGATCTGCGGCAGCTCAGCGGCTGACAGGCTTCTGCTTCTCAGGACAGAGAGGAAAGCAGCACTGCGGAGCCTGTGACTACTCCAGCATGCCTTAGGCTGCTCTAGCATGTCTTAGGCTCTGGGAATGTCAGCTGGAGGCTGCTAGGAAGCAGTGGCATGAGCCCAACCTTCCCCTGAGCAATCTCAACTGAGGCCTGCAGTGCCGAGACACTGGGCACACTGCAAGGAAACGAGGTGGGAGCTGCCAATAGGGCTGCCAGTAGGGCATCTGCTGGTGGTGTGGGGATATCCCTGGTCCCTAGCCCTTCTTACCTGATATCAACGAAGCAGTGGGCCGCTGTGAGGACCCACTGCGTGCTGATGAGAGACCCTCCGCATAGATGACCTGTGCCTGGTATCTCGGGATCCTGGATGCTGACGAGCCAGGGCCAGGCTCCTTCCTGGGCACTTGTGCCACCCACAACACGGGTCTTGCCTTGGTCTTCATCAGAAGTTGTGGGCCGGACCCCGCAGGTCCCCCTGTAAGCAGAAAGTCATTAGGCCCTCCTCTGTGGCTTGCTGCTGCTCGGGCTGAAGCTCAGCTGGCTGCCCTCCCCACAAGGCATTGCACGGACAGCAGGCCAGGGAAGCCTGTGGGCTGTGTCTGTCCACCCCAGCACCTGGCCGCTGGCAAGGACCTGAGGCTCCCCCATGGGGTTTGGGAAGCTGTGGTGTGGCCACAGGGGACAAGGGGGCCCCCTCCAGGGAACCCCCGGGGTGTTGCCCAAGCTCCGTCCCAGAGCCTGGGGCCACGTACCCACAGGTGTTCCACGTGCCCAGTGCAGGCCTGCAGGCAGCCAGCAGGAAGAGGAGGCAGAGCAGAAGCATCATTGCCAGCAGCACGTGTCAGAAGCCAGAAGTGAGGGCTCCTCGCACCAGCGCAGCCACCAACGCGGCCCCGGGGCTGATGTCACAGAGTGGCCTGTTCCGTGTTCTGGGCATGGGGGCCTCTGGCACGGGGGAGGGAGCAGGAGCAACAACAGAATCATAGAACCATAGAATGGTTTGAGTTGGAAGGGACCTTAGTGATCACCCCGTTCCAATCCCCCTGTCATGGGCAGGAACACCCGGCACTACACGAGGTTGCTCAAAGGCCTGTCCAATCTGGCCTTGAACACTGTCAGGGATGGGCCATCCACAACATCTCTGTGCAACCTGTTCCAGTGCCCCACAGTAAAGAATTTCTTTCTAATATTTAACCCAAATCTACTCTCTTTCACTTTAAAGCCATCCCGCCTTGTCCTATCACTACTCACCCTTGGAAAAAGTCCCCCTCCAGCTTTCTTGTAGGCACTGCTGCTTGCAGGATGAGGGTGCTCAGGCCCTGGGGCACAGGAGAGCACACATCCATTCATTGACAAGATGGACAATTTTGCCTTTAAAGTATGAAAATTTAACTGACTTGTCCTATCACGTAGTACCTAAGTTAATTCGGTCATGCATGTGTGGCATTTGGGCCTAAGAATGTAAAATGGAAGAAGATATCTGTGTCATTGTTCTCTACGATTACTTCTCAGCTGAAGTCAGCACTCTCTCTGAAGGACTATCAGCTGCTAAGTACTGCTCACAAAGAACAAGGTAAAGAGAAAACACTGATGAAAGCACGTTATTAACAAGCATTGAGATATATCCGATAAAATCTAACTTTGCTTCCCACGCCTGTTGCACATAATTAAACAGATGAAATTAGGTTGCACTGTGCTCTAGACAGCCACACCAGGGTGCTTCTGATTCCCAAGCTGTTTGTTTAAAGGTAGCTCAGAAATTTCTACAGCTTATTGCAGTTTTCAGTCTGCAGGGGTGTCCCACAGACTGATAACATTGTCCCTGTGAATATATCCACTTGCAATCCCTGCTCTTCACTACAGTAAGATTAAGAGCATGAAAAATGTTAGAGAGCCCTCTCCCAGCTGCTTCAATGTGCCTTCCAACACAGCTCTTGGAAAACAACACCATCTCTTGACACCTTAGTTGCATCGTACTTCCCATGTAATTTACAGTTTGAATTTTGGAGACTATGCAAGTTAAGGCAAATCATCATAGGCTTTTCAATGGACTGTCTGCGTAAGACTCACTCTGCTGCTGGAAAGTACAGAGCTAGGCAAAATTTGCAAAAAATATGGTGCAAAATCCTCTCTTTCCATCATCCAAGATATTCTTGGCCATTGTTAATGCCCAGCCAGTGACCCAGAGGTCTCTGTCCTCCTACAGCCATCTTTCTGCCTTCCTGGACCCAAAAAATAATAAGATCCAGTGTCTGGAGATATGGACTAGAAATGAAGTTATGGCTTTTTCTACTGAAAAGCATGTCTGCTCTTCATTTCACTACTGCTCTCACCAGAGCAAAATGAAGCATTTTGGTATGTGGCCAGAACAATAGGGCAGAATCAAAGTTGCATTTTCCACTCGCAGTGCCTCTGCTGTGTATAAATGTGTATTTTGAAAATCTCCTGAGAATCTTTAACCAACCAACCAAAGAAAAGATATAATGAAAATGGCATCTAGAAATTAACCTGCGAACTGATAAGGAAATATACAACTAATACGTGCATATACCCCTTATTCTAACCCCATAGGGTTTTTTACCCCTTTTTCTTTTGGTTTCAGACAGAGCAAGGAAGAAAAGCCACAAAGAAGGAAGAATAAGAGACTTGAGAAAGAGGCAAAATCCATAGTTGCAAACCAAATTAATTTTTGGGCACCTCAGTCTTTGAGTGCTTTTTTTCAATCTTTTTAAAAGAGTACAGTTTTCAGAAAGCACCTGTCCTCCCAGAGTGATGGTTACCTGATGTGTCAGTGCCAGCTGAGCATCTGTCATCACTTCTTATTTTGGGAAATGTAGGCCCCATGTGTTTACACTTCTTCAGATCTCTTTCAAGGAGTTGGCAAAAGGTTTGCATTGGTCTAACTTGCCTTAATAGTATTTCCATTCTTCTTTTTTTCACCTTTTTTTCTCAGTGAGAGGCTGAATTTCTGGTGTTGTAAAATCCATCCATGTAAAAATAAGAGCTCAAAATATTTTAAAAAGAAGAGACATTTAATTATTTATGAAGGTACAATATTCTGAGTAAAAAAGCCACTAAACACCACACATGGATTCCTCCCCTCCTCTTCTCTCCTATTTTTCTTATTTTGTTTGTTTGTTTGTTTGTTTGTTTGTTTTCTGGTACCTGTACAGATGGGTTTTCGATATTACGAGGTAGCTAAACTTCAAGGATGGAAGATACTGAAAGATAGCAATTAATAACAACAATAACAACAATTAACGTTCAAACAGCCCCAGTGTTTCTAAACATATTTTTTCCTGTGAAAATTTGTGGTGTACCCAAGATACAAAATGGTGCTGCTTTGCATGACTTGGCAAATTTATAATGCATCATTTTAATGACAAACAGGAGAAATTAAAAGTATGTGGTCAAAGCATTTGGAGAAATACCTCACAAGGAATGTTAATTCAGTAGTATCAGCTAGAACCACAACTTCTACTGGCATAAGGGTCAACTAGAAAGTCCTGTTATTGGTGAAGATGCTGAACAGCCAATCTGAATGGGATATATGCCTCATGCTGATCTGAATTTTACTAGAGAAATATTGACTTTGGATAAACTACACTGTTGCTGTCTTCTAATTTCAGCCTGTAGCAGCATCCTCTGTGTGTGTGTATAAACATTGGTATCTAGGATAGATGCTAAGTACATATTAGTATTTGTTAATTCATACAATTTTGTGGTGTTATGCCTTGCAATTAGTTGAGACATGTTCCCACTCTAAATCAATTCCAAAACAAAAAAATAATTGAGGGTACTTAAAAACTAGTTGGAAGTGGATGATCAGACTCTTCAATTAATTAGGAAAAAATCAAAAAGATGATGAAGCATGTGCTACAGAGTCACAAGTGACTGTACCAGCTAAGCTCAAATCAACAAACTGCTAATAAGTTATCACATAATTACCTACATTGTACTCTTGAAAGACAAGAGGAGCACAAAGTATCTACTACTTCCAAAACAGAAGGAACTGAAACTGTGGAAGATACTTGAATACTTCAGGACCTGGGCTGGTCCCTGGACCATGACACACAGACAGACACACAGACACATGATGGCAAAGGTGATGTGAAGGAGTTCAACTCTGCTGGTGGTTTCTGGCTTCTCAGAAGACTTGGGGTGCTCTGTACTACTGGGCAGGGATAAATAACTCAACCGTTCATTAACACACACCAGTTACCTCCAGTCTCCACATGTGGTCAAGTTTCCTAGAAGGTAAGAATCCACACTCACCAAGAATCTGTGCTCACCAGCCCTCTCATTTTCCAAACTGCAAAAAACCAAAAAATAGTCAGGACCAAGACAACCATCAGTTCAAATTTTTTACTTCAAGTCAAAGGACTTACTTGACTTTTGATTTTTAAAGGACAACTATCATGGCTTTTAAGCAATAATCTGCAGAAGAGATGAATAGCACACTTAGTGATCAGCATGATTTATTTGGCAAAGCCTATTAGTTCTTTCTGGAGCAAATTAATAATAATTCTCATCTGTTTGTCAGTGGGGATTTAATGTAGGCTAAAAAGTCATTGAGAGTTTTCTTCAGATGGAAGTCTGTTCAAAACAGAACAAAAAAGATGAATTTGAGAAAAAAGCTTAATAAAGTCTTCTTTAAACGAAAACCACTCAAGGCTTGACTGTTAATCAAAAGAACATTACTTACCTTACTCAGCATCGCTGAAACCAGAATCTGGCAGCAAGGTTTAAAAAGGAACACTTTTCTCTTTCTTTACAGTCGTAATTTATAACAGGCGAATTATTGGCTATAAATACTGTTTTCCTTCTGCTAATGTATTATGCTTCTGGGATTGTTCAGAGCCAGTATTTTGTTACTAAGACAATAAACTCCTAAACTGGGGCTTCAGACAAAAAATTCCTAGCACATTCAAAGCAGCAGCTTTTCAAAGAATATCACTATGCCATCTAAACAAACTAAATTTTAGTTTCACTAGTATTGGAAAATACTGAAATTTCTCACTAAATAATTTTTTAAACATAGAAAGCTGCTGCTGGCAATACACTGAAGCATATTTTTATATGTACCAAAGTTAAAATTTCAAATGGGATGAGTTAGCAAAGAGAGTTTGCTACTGAAAGTAGAGTATTAGATAAGCAAAATACATTCATAAATATTTGTAAAATATTAAATCATAGAGCCTAGAAAGTAATGGTTTAACACACATCCTGATACACATGGAAAAGTGTTTTTCTACATGTACTATGCACCTTACTTTTTTTAAAAAAAACAACTACTACCTAAAAATCTTTCAAAAAAACTGATACCAGCGAGATTTGAGTTTTCTTGTTTTTTGAACAATGTCTCAAGAGACACTTAAAATGGGATTATTTGGGAACATTGATAGCTCTTTGTAGTATAGCTCTACAGAACTCTTTATGTCTCTTGTAATCAGAGAGGTTACACGTTGATGTCTCACATCTCAAATACGTGCTACCTGAACAGAAGCACGATAACAGTCAGGCTCCACAGACAGCAACACTTCTGTTCTGTTCTCCTGACTCATGCAAAATCTCTCATATTCCACTATGTTTTTACATTTGAAGAGGCCAGAAAGCAGGGAGCTTGTAAGCACAGGGTGGCACAGTACTGCTCCCATACTGCCGCTCATGCTGTGGTATTTGGCTCTGGTTCGGGGAGAGATCCATGCACGATGCTCCCAGACAGCCGAGCTGGAAAGATACAGGCTTCTCACATTAACACTCCGTGAGCTGCATCAAAGTTACCATATTAGCTGGCTGAAATTGTGTCATACTCTTATTTTTAGTATGCTATTATGCCTCTGGGATATATTTTATTTATCAGGGAATTGGACCTAAACAGATGTTGTAGCTGT